GCTGCAGCTGCTGGACGAGCAGGTTGGGCCAATTAACGACCAATTAACCCCCCAATTAATTATGTTGGGGGGCAGTATTAATTAATTAACCCCACCCCACCCCCTCCTCCCAATTAGGATTCGTACATCCAGAGCCGTGCGGATGCCATGCAGAACATTGAGGCCACCATCGTGGAGCTGGGCTCCATCTTCCAGCAGCTGGCACACATGGTGAAGGAGCAGGAGGACACCATCCAGAGGTGACCTTTAACCCCTCCCGTAACCTTTGACCCCTCCATGACCTTTGGCCCCAATCTCTGATCTTTGACCCCTTCCCTTCCCCCTGAGGTGCTGCCCCCCAAATTTCAGCCCCCCACCTGAATCTGCCCAAAGTTATTTCCCAAGTCTCCCGTGACCTTTGACCCCTTCTGTGACCTCTGACCCCGCTGTGACCCTTTGCCCTATGACCCTTGACCCCGTGACCCTCGATCTCCTGACCCTTTACGACCCCGTGACCCTTGGTTAAATGACCCTTGACCAATGACCTTTGACCACATGACCCTTGACCTCACTGTGACCCTTGACCTCACCGTGACCCTTAACCCCCTGGCCCTTGACCTCACCATGATCCTAGGCCTCCCCATGACCCTTGACCCCATGAGCCTCCACTTTCACCTTCATGACCCTTGACCCTATGACCCATGACCTCACCATGACCCCTGACCCCACAACCCTTCACTTTCACTTTCACAATCCTTGACCCCACACCCCTTGCACCTCCATTCCCCCCCCCAACCCCCATTCAACCTCCGCCCCCCCATTGACCTCCGAACCCTCCTTGACCCCTGACCCCCCCGTGACCTTTGACCCCCCCCTCCCGCAGGATCGATGCCGGTGTGGACGAGGCTCAGCTGCAGGTGGAGGCGGCGCACACGGAGCTGCTGCGTTATTTCCGCGGGCTGAGCTCACAGCGCTGGCTGCTGCTCAAAGCCTTCCTCCTCCTCCTCCTCTTCTTCATCCTCTTCGTCGTCTTCCTTGCCTGACCCCCCCCCAAGCCCCC